TGTATGGACACAGCTGGGTACTACTTTAATAGTATGTTCATTCTACTCACTGGGGTTATGCCTAGGGTCAGATTTGGGTACATGTATAGGTATGTGTCAGCTGTGCGAGCTATTGTATATATTTAGACTAATTGAGTTCATAGGCAGAACAATTGAATGGGGCGGGGGGGCGGAAGGCATGGAGGGCACCCATGGATACCAGGGACAATGGAATGGGGAATCAGGGATGGCAAGACAAAGGGCAAGGTAAGCAGGATGTAAGAATTGGAAAATTACTTGCTGAGAACATGTATGTTGATGTGCTTGATTGAACCAGTACACAGTGTATTTTGGATGGAAAATTTAAAAAATAAAAAATAAAAAATAATAATAAGAGTAATAATAATCTGAAAAAAAAGGATGAAAAGCTATTTGATGATGATGATATAGACAGTAATGTCATTGTCTTGACTGATACACATGGTATTCCTGCTAGAAAGAGAAATGTAATATATTGTAAAGATATATGTGATTCAATGTAATATAAAAATTTTTTTTAAAAAAATCTAGTAAAGAAGCTAGAGGAAGACTGACTGAGAGGACAGGAGTGATAGGTATAGTTGACGTGAGCCTCAAGGAAGACATGTTAACAACAACTTCCAGGGACATGGTCTGGGAGTGAGATGAATGTTGAGTCTGTCTCACCACACCCATGGGAACACTCACATCTCTGGGAAGAGCCAGAGCTCTGCTAAGGCAGCCCTGTATCCAGCCTGTTTCTGCATCCCCTACTCCAAACATAGTCTCTATTCTGCATAGACTGTCAATAATGACCTGACTCACTCACCTGACAGATACAGGGATATTATTTAAATACTCACCACAGGTTCTCCTCAGTCACTAATGGAATTTCCACTAGCTGCCTTATTCAGTCTAGACTCCTCTCCATGAACTGGAAAGCGAACTAATTCTTCTATATTTCAGACAGTCTTCAACATCTTGATGTCTCTATACACCAGATCCAGGCATCTGGCAAACCGTCAAGGAGCTCCACCTCATATCAAGGTGACTCTCTCACACACTCACAGGGTCACACACAGTCACATATATGTGACGCTCAGCACAGAGACAACAATACAGCTCCAGAAGCCCAGTCCACAAGACAAGCCAGTCCTCAGGAACCTCTGGGCATCCCATTGACAGAAACAAGTCCCCATAACCATGATGCCCTTTAAGAAAGCATTCTTTATGTGGTGCCTATCCTCAAATGCCCTGAAGGAATAGCTGGGACAGAAAAAGATGGGTGTAATGCACAGGGAAGTTGGCATTGGTTCTGTCTGAGTGTAAAATTAGAATAACCCTGATCCACGCCTTGAGACAAAAAAGCATCACCTTGACTTGGCAGAAACTTTGTACCAGTCTCCACCCCAGAGCCCTCCCTGTTGGCTGCATGGAGGGTACAGAGGCAGATCTGAACACAAGGTCCTTAGAGGTGGCTCAGCTCTGCTGGAAGCTACAGGAGAACACTGGGGCACATTCTTGGGTGAATCTAGCTCAGAACAGACTCTCACTCAACATAACCAGAATGGCAAATTTTGACCATGTAATGAACCAAAAGGAAGAAGGAAACAGGCAAATGTTAGCTGGAAGGAGACACTTTATTGTTTCTGGGGGGTCTCTAGAAGCCCCTGGGCAGGGGTGAGCTGAGCTCAGTGGCTTTTCCCAGAGCAGGCAGATGCTCCGTGGCTCTGTTTGTGGTAGTCTGTGGCTATGTCCCCCATCATGGAGAGAAACTCAGAAAACTCAATCTTCTTATCCTTATTTTTGTCCTTTTTCTCAAACACATTGGCCAAGTAATCTGTGCCCTTATGCTCCTGTGAGGAAAGAAAAACACAAATACAAAAATTCAGTCACAAACAAGTCCAGGGCTGAGAAGAAAATATGAGGGGCCAAGACAGAGAGCCAAGAGCTTGGGCTCTGAAGGTATGACTGGTGGGAATAGTGATATTACTTTTGGGGGGTTTTTTAGGGAGATTTGTTGTCACAAGGAACAAAGTCAGTGATAGACCTGAGGGAGGGAAGCAAGAACTTCCCACTGGAGCTGTGATAAATGAGCTGGGTGATGAGGGAATCTCCAGCCCCAGCCCCACTGTCCTCAGCCTTTAAGGGTACCGCCTACCCTAGGTCTACTACCCAAGGGACACTATCTAAATCCTAATACCTGTTTTCCTCATCTCCAATCTTCCTCTCCTTTATTCTTTGTTCTAACCAAACTTATCATTCTGGGGTCCCTGTCCTTAGTCACCGAGACTCTGAAACCCAAGTTCCCCACAGTGTTTACATTCCAGTGTGCTACTCTCTTTGTCAAAGAGGGTTGATAGTTAATATTGGCAATGCAATTTCTGGTGCCATACCATTAATAGAAATGTTGAGGCAGAGCCTTCGAGAAACAGGCCCAGAGATGAGGCTCAGCCACATGGAGATAGCATGAATGACATCTGCCAGGAAACCTGTTACTGCTTTAAGTTGCATACTTTAGTGACCACCTGATGATAACATCTAATGACTCTTTATAACTCCAATAACCATGCAAACAACTCTTGCTCATATATAAATATTCTTGTACATCAGCTCTTCGTATAGATGAGAAAATCCAGATTCAGAGAACTAGAGTGACTTGTCCAAGGTCACAGAGAAAAATGGATCCTCAGCCACACTGGGACCCCATCAAGACTGAGCAGCAGGCCCCCAACTCACACAGGCACTGAGGAAGTTGGGGAAATTCTCCTTCATCATCTTCAACAGGCTTGGCTTGTCGATCGCATCATCACGTCCCGTGTATTTGTGAAACAGGTCAATCATGCCCACTATGGACTCCTCAGCTTGAGTGTTGCTCATAGTTGCTTTAAAAATACTGTAGAAAAGGAAGACAACATTTTGGGTTTTTCTCTTCTCTAACCAGTCACTGAAATAGGAATATGGAAAGTAGTTCAGTAGATAGAATAGCACAGAAGTAGATGATAAAAATGCAGATTTCTGTGGGTATTGGGATAAATTGCCTGAAACAAAGGAGGGTAGTTACCACACATGAGAGCTAGGCTCACTCATTCTAAGGACAAGAGGAATAGAAGTTGAGCAGATGTCCAGCTACCCTGAGAAGTCATAGAAGCAGGGAGGGTTAAGGGTCAATCATGAAGTAATGACCTAGACCTGGAGGTATAACCACAACTACATCCTGTTTGTGGAACACCCCACTTTTCAGTTCCAACTCCATCTCTTTCAGTTTCACAGTCACGGCTATAATCACAGGCATAAGAAAGTGGCCTTAGAGATCTAATTCTGACTACTCTTCGTTTCATCAAGAGCAAGATACCCTGGAAGCATTACCATGACTCTTTCATTGGAGGCCCAGGATCAAGTCCCAGACTTACATAAAATCTGATGGTAGCAAACTGGGATGGATCAAGGATTACAATGGCAAGGACCTCTTGAAACTTCATCTCACTCTAGCTGCCTCCTTTCCACCACTCTCATACTCTCTCTCTCTCTCTCTCTCTCTCTCTCTCTCTCTCTCTCTCTCCTTCTCTCAGAAAGGAAAAAAATAAGGAAAGCAGAAAGAAAGGAAGGGATGAAGGGAGAAAAAAAGAAGAAGAAGAGTGATCACCAAGCTTTTGGAGTCTGAGCCCTGTGCACAGAGGGTCCACATGAATTTCCAGAAGGGTGAGAGTAAGGGTCATGGAGCTTGGTGGATCACTGCCTCACCCAGGGTGGGGCAGATCACTGCTACAGGATAAGTAGGGGATTAAGAGGGCCTACAAAACATTAACAGGGCACACTAAGCTCCATCCTTGGAGTGTGTGGGGAGTAGGTTTTAGTTTCAGCAGCCTGGACCCTGACAGAAGTATGAGTCAGAGAGGATGAGAACAAGAAAAAAAAGAGGGTCTTATCCTAGGTTACCCCTCAGGACTTCTCCACTGGAGTCTTTGCAGAATATTGAAAAGAACTTAGAGGTGATTCTAATCCAGTTGCCTTGCAATACAGATGAGGACTCTTACCTCAGAGTGATGGTCACAAACCTGGGGTGGCAGAGCCATGACTAGACCCCAGACCTCTGAGTCCTCACCCACAGTAATTTTCCTCTCCTGCAGGAAGGCTACTGGGCACGTCTAGAAACAACAAAGACACAGGTACAGACTTACCAGAGCCGAGGAAGCGTCAGGAAGGAGAGTGCCTGAGATGTGTGTGTCTACATCCAGAACGGTCCCTTTATAAGGCTCAGCCTGGCTCTTCCCAGGGCCTGGGAGCCCTCAGGCCCTGCATTCTCTGTGCTTCCTGGAGCCTTGCCACATAAAGGAGGTTAGGACATACCTACATCACTATCTCAGCATTTCCAGTTACTATCCAGGTGCCCCGGTGTTGCAACTCCCAAGAGACCTCACTTGCAGCCTCCTCCTGTCCTGACCTCCCTACGGGGTTGAGGCAGCCAGTGGGTGTTTCATAATGCATCAGGGAATAGGGAACACTGGTTTCTGGACCCAGACGGGATGGAAATCAGGACTCTAGAAGGCAGCGTGTTCTGTCTTTGTCCATTGCCCCTGTGTTTCTACCAACTTCTTCTAACACCTAATTAGACCACCACCGCTTCCTGATCATTTCATGTGCCCAACACCAAGAGGCCAGATGGACCTACATTTCCACTAACCCTCACAATGCAAGGAAGAAGGTGCTGTTATCACCAGTTTAGGAAAATGGAATTTGATGTGGTAACAGGGAAGCAGGGCCAGCCAATACAGTGATGATTAGACAGCTGGATCCCACATGGCCAACCAAATGGTTCAAGACACAGACCCGGCAGTTTGAATATCATGCCAGGAACATGTGTGTGTGTATTCCCAAGCCCTGAGGAGAGAATAGAGGAGAAGGGATTGTGGCATGGCCGTCATTTTGGTGGTGGTGGGGGCGGGGGTATTTCTTACTTTCTACTTCCTTCACCGCCCCTCTGCCCTACCTGTCTGTAGGACAGGTACCCTATAGAAAAATGAGGGAAAAAAATTTTAAAAAGTTAAGCAAACTCCCTAGCTTTTCCTAAGTTTACTAGTTAAGAATAAAGTCAATAAATTATCAAAAAAAAAAAACTGATTAAAATCATTGTTTCTATTCCATCTACTAAAAGTCATGTGTCATTTCATATCATGGACATGCCCTATGACAACTCAGAGACTAGTCACAAAGGCAAGGTCACTGTAGTGCCATCTTCAGGTCATTATTTGTTTGTGACTGAAAATTTTGTCTGTGTCTTTCTTTCCTCATGGGGCATAAGGGCAGAGATTACTTGGCCAATGTCTATGAGAAAAAAAGACAAAAATAAGGAATGACCCTGGAGGCAGGCAGTTGTGCAAAGTCCTACCAGCCCTATGACAAAGACTTCCCAAAAACTATCAACTTTCTTCCTCCCTTTATGCAAAACAGTAAACGTAGGAGTTAATAGCCATGCCCTTGGCTCTGAGGAGCCCAAACCTGTTGCAGAAAGGCCAGCCTAGGTGCAGGAACCAGGAGCCTGATGTCACCTCCTGCATCCTGGAGACTCTGGACACCCCTCTGACTCAATAGACAGTTCCTTTTCTGTTCTCTGCCTCCATGAAAGAAAGGAAGCTGGTTCAGACTTTGGTGCCCACTGAATTAGCACCACACTGGATTGGGCAGCCCCTCTCCACCCTGGTCCCCCTCACTCCAGCCTGGCCTCCCTTTCCCAACCATGTCGACACATCCCACAACCAGTCCTCCCTTCTCTTAGTCCCTTCTAAGCCCTTTTAAAAATCCTCCAGTGTAGGACACACAGAAACCTGCTCCGAGTGATGCCTTTCACAGAGAAACCAGCCGATGAATGATGTTGTGGAGGAGAGACTTCTTTTCCATTTAAATGATCTGTAGTATTTGGATTTCAAACCATATCAACATTCTTAAAAATACTTTCTAATGCAATAAATAAATAAATAAATAAATAAAATAAGTAACTAATTTCTATTTAAAATTTTCCTGTTTTGACTTTTTACCTCATATCTTGAGCCTGAGTCTTTCATGATCCTCAACCCCTGGAATGGAAACAGCATGATCTTTTCAACATCTTGTTTTATATTATTGGTTTATTTTCTTCTAATCTCCATTCACAATTCTGCTCCCACAAAGAAATAAAATGTGCAATTTTCATTTCTATATTGTCTTGCTAAATGTGAATGATTATTAAAATTTTTGTGCTTTCTTAGTTTTTCACTAAATAGGTCAACTATACAGAAAGTACACAAAACATAAAAGTATCACTCAGTGAATTATTTATAATATTGTACCCATCACATGGTCAGGGAATGGAATTTGGCCACCTCTCATGCAGTAACTGCCCTGCTCTGTCTTCATAAATCATCCACTCTCTAGACCTTTGGATCACATTCTCTCTTTATTTTACTTAAGTTCTACCACCAAAGCATACATCCCATATGCACTATACATTTGCCCGCTTCCTAAATTTTATGTAATGAAAAACATACTTCACATATCTTTTTTTATTTGCCTTCCGTTGCTCAAAATAAATATGTAAACTGTATTTGTGCTATAGTGTTAACACTCAGGTCCCCACCAGATCAGCCTATTGTACAGTATTTTTTAATTTGTGGCAATGATTTCTGTTAATATACCACAGATCCCATATGTTGTTCATTTAGTCACTTTATTTTGAAAGCTTTCCTACTCAGGTGACCAAGAATGTAACTTAACATAACCTGTGTCATCAATCCTCAGTCTTGAGAAAAAAGCGGAAAGTCCAAGATCACAACCTAATAGGTGTCAGGTGTGAGCTGTTCATGGTCCAAAAAAAAGCTTGATTGAAATCATTGTTTCTATACCATCCACTAAAACTCAGCATGACATCATGGCCATGCCCTGTGAAAACTCAAGAGACTAGACAAAGGTAGGTCATTGTGGGAGTGAGCTGTTTATGGATGGAGGAAGGTATGACTCTGAGGACCCAGAACATCAGGCCCCAAGGTCAACTTCAGATCACTCCTGTTTTCACAAATGAATCAGGATTTTGCAGTCACTATTAACAGCAAAGTTACTTCCCACCCCCAGCCAGAAATGCCTTGGAAATCTTTCTCGCTTTCTGTCTCTCTGTCTCTCTCTGTCTGTCTGGCGAGCACACGCGCCCTATAGCAAAAACCTCTCCAAAAAAAAAAAAAAAGAAAATGAGAAATCACCCCCCAAGGGGGAGTGGCCACGCCGCAATCCCTTCTCCTCCATTCTCCTGTAGGGATATTGGGCACGCATGCACATGCACCCGGTGTGAGTTTAAGCCACCAGGTCCAGGACTCAAACCACGGTCGACTACATGGGAGTTCAGTGACATAGCCATTACACTAACTGCCGGTCCCTCCAATTATTATTTTTTTTAAATAATTATTTGATTTAACTTTATTTACTTATTTATTTATTTTAATTTGACCAGAGAGAAACAGAGCAAGGAAGAGAGAGAGAGAAAGAGAGAGAGAGAGAGAAAATGAGAAAGCAAGTCACCAGGTCTGGGACTCGAACCATGGTCGGTCATGTGGGAATCCAGCACCATTAACCACCATGCCACCTGCTGGCCCCTCCAATTATTATTTTTGAATTTACCTGTTTCTCCCTTAAATTCTGTCAGTTTCTCCTTCACACATTGTGGCTTCTGTTGTTAGGTGCATATATATTTACAATTACTAAAACTTCCTGATGAATTGATTCTTTGTTCTTATAAAATACTATTGTCTCTAGTAAAATATTTTGTTTTAAAGTCTACTTTGTCTGGGGACCAGCAGATGGCATAATGGTTACATCACTGGACTTTCATATGGTTGACTACGGTTCAGGTCCTGGACCTGGTGACTTAAAACTCACACCAGGCATGTGTGCGTGTGTGCCCAAGATCCCAAGAGGAAAATGAGAAGAGATTGTGGAGTGGCCATGCTCTCTGGAGGGGTGATTTCTCACATTCTGTCTCTCTGTCTCTCTGGTGAGCACACGTGCCCTATAGCAAAAATCTCTTGAAAATAAATAAATAAATAATAAAGTCTACCTTGTCTGATATTTGTATAGCCACTTCAACTTGATTGTTGCTTCATTTTAATACTTCCCATCACTTCACTTTCAACCTGTTCATATCTTTTAATATTAAGTGTTTCTTCTGTAGACAGCATAGAGGTGAATTTCAGTTTTTGTCAAATCTGACAATCTCTCATTTTACATGGGTTATGTACTCCATTTTACTAAGTAGCATTACAAATATGGTTGGATTTTTATCTGCTTTTAAAGTCTCTTTTTTTGTTATTCTTCTACTTCTTTAATGCTCTCTTTTGCATCAAATGAACATTTTCTAATGTCATTTTTAAATTTCTTTAACAGTTTTTCACTATGTATTTTTGAGGCTTCTATTGTAATTGTTCTAGGGCTTTCCACATACATCTTCAATTATCAAAATCACATACACACACACCTAATTTCAGAGAACTATACAATCATGACTTCCTTCTAGCTCTAGTCTCTTTTTTCAGTGTTACTCTTGTTATACATATTACATCTACATTTGTTACCAGCTCACTAATGTTGTTATAGTGTTCTTTATAACTGTATGTTTATTAAAGAAGCTGAGGAGGAAAAAAAGGAAAGAAAGTGTAGTTTATAGAGTTTTTAAAATATTTACTTTCTTATTTACTATTATTGGTTGTCTTCATTTGCTCCTGAGTTTGTATTGCTCTCTAGCATTATTTACTTATTCTATTACAAGTTTGTTCCCATATACTTTCTATGTGCTGTTATTGTTAAATACATCATTACCCCTCTACATGTTGCAGGCCCAGAAATATAATTACAAGTGGTATGCAATAGTATATTTTTAAAAATGCATGGTGAAGAAACTATGGATGAGTTTCAAAAAAATTTTTTTGCACCAAAATAAACTTGTACTTTAAGTCCAAAAAAAAAGTTTTAATTAATTAATTAATTAAGATAGAATTGACATTTTAACTATATTGATTCTTCAAATTTGAGAATAAGGACCGTCTTTTTCTTTTTTGTATTTTTTTTTATTTTTTGCAATTTTTCATAGTTTTCCTTGTAGAGGTCTGTAACCTCTTCAGTTAGATTTATTCCTAGGTATTGGCATATTTGTGTGACTACTATAAACAGGAGGGTCCTCAAAACTACCATATGACTCAGTAATCTCACTCCATGGGATTTCCCAAATGATAGGAAAACACTCTGTTGAAAAGACACTTCCATATCCATGTTTATGGCAGCATTATTCACAATTGCTAAGACATGGAATTAACCTAAGTGCCCAAAAACTGGTGACTGGATTTTTTGAAATGTAGCACATATACACTATGGATTAATGGATTACTACTAAACCATTTTTTTAAAAATGAGACTCTGTTGTTCAATACAAAGTGGATGAATGTATAAGACTTAATGCTAAGTGAAATAAGCCAGACTATGAAAGACAAACACTGTATATCCCCACTCAATACATAGTGAAAGTCTGCCCTCTATGGCAGCAATTAAAAGATTTAAAGACACAACAGTAGAGAGGACATGTGTAGATACCAGAGACAGTATGGGAAGGGGATAGATAGATAGTAGGAGATGGGTAGGAAGGACTCGGAAAAAAGCATTTAACATACATAAGAACATAAGGTTCTTTGTT